GAGAATTTCGCGACAATAATATACAAACGGGATAAACAAAGACAAAATCGGTAAACGTTATGATGGTCCAACTTATTTTCGCGGGCACGCGGTATAGACAGAGGTCACAATAAGATACTCCGAGACACGGCGCGGTATGCAAAAAAAAGATAACAACTAGAAGACGGTAATTTCGTGACTCTCTCGCACGACTCTCTCGCCGAGTCGAAAACAATGAAATATTTAACAAACTCGCGGAGAACGGCTACACGCAAATTCCGAAAATCTAATAATCGAGCCTATAGGAAACGTGACTCTGAATATCTCGGTAACCCGAATTTATAATAATTACTTTCGAGACGATGGACTGTCGGTGGCACTTCTCGGAGAGGGCTCGGCTCGCGAAACGCAAAGTCGGCTGGCCCCGCGGTACGATACTCCAAAAAAAAGACAAGAGAGAGACCGCTCTCTCACACACAAAACGATACGAAAAATGAGAGAGTGCGGTACTCACGGTAATTACAATACACGATCAATACCTACGGTACCAACCAACACGGATCTACGACTACTCGAGAGGCGGCTTACAGTTTCTGGCGACGAATTCTGGTCCTCGGGTCGTACGTGTGGGAGTTCTGGAGGCACCCTCTCTGCTCTAAGGCACACCGAACAGTGGAGAGCCGGGCCTCGCGCGCCTCGGTACCCTACGTGCCGCGCCGATCTCTCGCGCATTCCCTCGATGATAGGGTCGATGGCGGGGCCCTAAAGTCTTCCCCGCCTCCCCCTCTAGCGGGGTAATTCTCTCGCCGGTATCTTCCTGCTGCTCGAGAGGATTTTTTTTCTCCGGGTTTGTTCCTGCGGCTTTTCTCCTGGGGGAACAAGCGGTAGGCTGGCCGGGCCCTCCGTCGTCCTTCTCCAGGAGCGGTCCAGGTGTAGGCGCGACTCGGAGTCCTCTCGGTATCCTAGAATATCCGTACGGCATCAACATTGCGCGAGAGATAATAAATAAAATTCGGCTACTTGATACTTAACTGCGCGCGGTCCCGTGCTCTCTCTCTCTCTCTCTTACTCTCGATCCATCCTTCTCTCTCGGCTGTGGTATTCCGGCATCCTCCGTCTCTCTCTCTCTCTTGCTTTACAACCTCTCCTGCCGCTCTCTCGGGCCGTCGTTGTCGCTCTCCCTACGAATCGTGTTGCACGCGCATCGACGGGCCGATGCTACGTGCAATTGCGATTCTCGCAAAAATACGGTAATAAAAAACGAAATAACGCAAACGGATCGCACCCTCCCCGAAATGAGGGGCGCTCCAGATCCCCGCGTCCTACCCGATCGGGCTTTTCGCCCTTGTGACGGCGCTCTCAAAAGCGTCACGTCACAATATATATGCATATGTAAAAATCTCTCTCTCTCTCTCTCTCTCTCTCACACACACACACACACACACACAACGGGGGCCAAATCTCTCAAATTGGTCTCATGATCAATTAGCCTGGCGTCGCACCAGGGGCAAAGTCTTTTGGTAAAGTCTACGAAATTTAGCACGGACTCGAACCAGGGGCAAAGTGTGTCGATAAGGGGCAAAATCTATCGCACGAAAATGGCGGTTTCTTCTTTAGGCAGGCCTTTGGCGATCTGTCTATTAATTTGTGGTACAGACATACATCACTACATAGAACAGCTCCATTAGCTCAGCCGGTCAACTTCGACTTTTTAAATTTTTGTTTGTTGGTCGTTTGTTGGTTATTGTTGGCCCAATTGCAACGTTTGTTGATTTATATATTTTTTTTTAATTAAAAAAGAAAAATTAGCATTAAGTTAATCGGAAAAATCTCATTTTTAATTAAAAAACGGTCTAATCGATGCGTAATCGTTTGTTGATGATTGTTGATCGAATTTTATCGTTTGTTGGTTTATTATTAGTCTTAAAAACGAAAAATTATTACATTGAGACCGCATCTACATAAATCGAATATTATAATTTTGGTTTATTGCTTACGATTTAAGGCTTATTTCTATAAATGTAAGGCTAACAGGCTATGAATACGGACCTTAACTTCGGCAGGAAATTGAAAATATTTATTTTCTTCTTTAATAGTAAGTTGAAATGATAAATTGCAAAATGTGAGATATTTATTAGACAAAGAATAAACTTGTATTTATATCTTTTTGTAATCTTGAAGTTTTTAGATCTGTATTATATATCATCAATTCAATGCTAGTTAAAATATAAATTTAGCTTTTGTTATCATTTTCCAGAAGAACTTTGATGTATTATTTATATACATTTTTATTTTTAAACAATTATTAAAAATTAGTCAATGTAATATGAAATGGAAATTAGTAAGAAGTACATATATGTGTTTCATTTATTTAGTTTAATGTCATTTAATGTATATTAAAAATATACATATATGTATATGTTATTTTTAAATTATATTTTTAAATTACATTTAATAAATATTATAATTGAGATTTGGATTTGTATTGTTCCAAGTTATTTCTCATCAAAAAAAGAAGATTAGATTATAGAAGTTTATATGTAAGCATAATTAGTAATTAATTATAGCATTAGTTATTAATTATAGTAATAATAGCATTAATTATAATAATTAGTTATTGCAGTAATAAATTATAACATCTCTTTTCTGTAAATAAAAATCATATTTTACATGATTGTGTGATAAAAGAATAAATTTATATAAATTAAAATAAAGCAAAAATTGATCAAAAAGATTGATTTGAAATACTTTTTTCTAATCATTAAAAATAAAAATATTATTAGAAATACAAAGTATGCATAAGTCATCGACGAAGTTGTTTCATACTTATCGAATTATAATATTTTGTGTCGTTATATTATTATTACTTGTCTTATGTTAATGTTGTAACAAACAGCTTACAAAGCGAACAATAGCTTGTTATTATCTTGAGAGTATGTGTTATTATAAAGACTAAGTATTATATTTGCTCCGTTTATAACGCACCGATTGTTATCGGGTTGAATTGATTTAGGAAGTGATCGACTTATTTCGGTAAAATTCGCGACCTGCGAGACCGCCCGTGGGGACTACTTAATATAATGTCACGTATTCGGCGAAAGAAGAACATTATTATTCCTATCTCACTGCCTCAAGTTATTTCTCTCTGAGCAATGTAATAAAGAATCGATCAAGTCAAAGCAGCATTTTAAATTATTCCGAAATCAATCGTAATCGTCACCGTCAAATAAAGAGAAACCAGAGACTTGTGTCTCGACTTGCGTCGATCGAGAAATATACTTTCTTTTTAAGATTTTTTTGAAGAAAATCGAAGATGTTTAAATTTGAGAAAAAATTGATTTTTACTTTGTTTTTTGAAAATCTTATATAAATTGTTATTGAAAGAAAAAACTAATTTTACAAGATTAAAGTACGTAAAAAGACCTTTCGAAATCACACCTTATTTTTTAAAATCGGAGTAGTCTTCTGAAATTTATCAACGTTTGAAGTTGGACGTAACGGTCAAAATGATAAAAATTCCAGTCCCTGTTAACACAGAGCCTGTATAGTGTGGGCCAAACAACTTGAAGAATAATTTTACTTTTGATAAGACTACACTTTCTGCAAATTTCAGCGTGATTGAAAAACTTTGGGTGGATCACTTCATAAATAATACCTCATATATTATATATATATAATAATTAACAATAAATTATTAAATTACTAAAATATGTGATATAATAAAAGGCCAACTTAACGAGCTTATAAGATATTAATTAAAAAATTTTTTATTATTAATTTACGTCATAATATACAAAAGATAAGATAAACGTTTCGACTGTACGACAGTCTTTTTCAATATCATGCTAATATGTCAAAAAATTAATTTAGTCATATCGACCTTATTATAAATACAACATTTTTGAGATTATCATATGACGAACGTAGTACAAAATTCATGTTTGTTGGCTTGAGTTAGAGCGTCAGATTTCTGTATGTCATGCTGTTATATTATGTAACGACATTTTTTGTCACGAACATAACACTTTTTTTTTTTTTAAATTATTTCTTTTTAAATGACATAATCACAATGTGTACTTTTTAAAAAACAAGATAGGACAGATATCGATTTGTTTTTTAAAAAGTACACATTGTGATTATGTCATTTAAAAAGAAATAATTTAAAAAAAAAAAAAATGTTATGTTTGTGACAAAAAATGTCGTTACATAATATAACAGCATGACATACAGAAATCTGACGCTCTAACTCAAGCCAACAAACATGAATTTTGTACTACGTTCGTCATATGATAATCTCAAAAATGTTGTATTTATAATAAGGTCGATATGACTAAATTAATTTTTGACATATTAGCATGATATTGAAAAAGACTGTCGTACAGTCGAAACGTTTATCTTATCTTTTGTATATTATGACGTAAATTAATAATAAAAAATTTTTTAATTAATATGTTATAAGCTCGTTAAGTTGGCCTTTTATTATATCACATATTTTAATTGTATACGAGCCGAAGTTTAATTTATAAAATATATATATTAAATTACTAAATTTATTATATAAATTATTTTAATTATACTACATATATGTATATATGTATATACATATAATATACTAATTATATACTATTAAACTTATATATATAAATGATTAAACTATTAAAATATTAAACTATAAATTATTAAACTTTACACTATTTATAATTTTTGCTTTTTGTTACTTATTTATATATTTTCTTATTATATTATAATTATTTATCTCAATATATCTTTTTTAATATTCCGTAATTTTATATGTTCGAGTTTGAACTAAACATGCAATAACTTTTTGGAAATTTATAATTGATTTGTTTACAAACAATATTTGTTACCTGATACTGTATCTAAACTCTTAAGTTTAGGCGACACGTTTGCCTTGCCGATTCATTGCTCAAATAAGAACGACCGACTAAATTATACCGTTGAAGTGATAAAGAATTTTGAATCGAATTGTCGTTATGTTCCTGAGGATGCTTTGGAAACAACTAGAATATCCATTGCCAATTCACTACAAAAATTTCTATCTAAAAGTAAACATATCAATTATAGTGACAGATTTATTCAGAATGCGTTTACTATTTCTAATAAATATTTGCAGAATAATAACGATTTGATTGTTACCAAAGCTGACAAAGGACAAGTGACAGTGGTTATGAATAGAAATGATTACGTGACTAATATGGAATTATTGTTAAGTGATTCGATGACATACAAAAAATTAAATAAAAATCCGATTACACGTCTGACGAACAAACTTCATACGTTAGTAAAGTCATGGCATAATAATGAGATCATTGATGATCAAACATATAAATTTCTGAATTGCACAAATGGTAATTTACCACGGTGTTATGGGCTCCCAAAGATCTATAAGAGCGGGTATCCATTGAAAATCATTGTGTCATCGTTAGGCAGTCCCGGATTCAAATGTTAAAGATGGTTGGACGTTTGTGAATACTATTAAAAATACAAGGGTTAATGACGATGACGTAATGATTTCCTTAGATGTTTGTTCGTTGTTTACAAATATGCCAAAAAATTTAGTTTTTTCTGCAATTGAAAGTCGTTGGAGTGACATAAGTCTAAAAACTAAATTTAATTTGCAACAGTTTCTATACGCTATTGATGTAATACTTACTTCAACTAGTTTTCAATTTAATGAGCAGTACTATGAACAGATTTATGGAAGCCCTATGGGATCCCCTCTATCACCGATATTAGCTGACTTGGTAATGGATGACTTGGAAACAAATTGTTTAAATTCTTTAAGTTTTAAAGTTCAGACTTTTTATAGATATGTGGACGACATTTTTGTTATTTTACCTAGTTCTAAAATAAATGAAATTTTAAGTACATTTAATAATTATCATGAACGTTTAAAATTTACACATGAAATAGAGACCAATTCTTCTATTAATTTTTTAAATTCTACAGTTATCCGCAATGGGAATAAATTGACAACTAATTGGTTTAGGAAATCTACATGTTCTGACAGATACATCAATTTTCTTTCGAGTCATCCTATTAAGTACAAAATTAATGCGATTTACAATTTAGTAGACCATGCAATTTTACTTTCTAACGAACAATTTCATAATACGAATATTGAGATTGTAAAGAACATTTTAATTAATAATTGTTTTCCGGATCATATTATTAATAAGTATGTAAATAAAAGAATTAATGTACTGAATAACAACAGGAATGTTAACGGTCACAATGCGGATAATAACGACAGTTTGAGTAATGATTTAGATAATAACGTTAATGTGAATTCGGCTCAAGATAAGAATTATGTAATTCCACTCCCATACGTTAAAGATGTTAGCGACAGTATTAAAAGGTCACTTAAAAATGCTAACATAAATGTCGTTTATAGTTTGCCAAAAAAGTTGAATAGGCTGATAAAACGAGGTAAAGATTTAATAACTAATGATATTAAAACGAATGTAGTATACAAGATTAATTGTGAAAATTGTAATGCATCATACATTGGACAAACGAAAAGACATTTATGCACTAGAGTGAAGGAACATGCCAGCAATATTAAATTACATGAGTCTAATCATTCGGTTTTAAGCAAACACAGATGTGATTTTGGGCATAACGTTGATTGGAAATCACCGACCATTTTACATAACGAGAAACATGTAAGAAAGAGAGAGATTGCTGAAATGTTCTTCATAAAGAAGCATGACAATACAGTTAACCTACAGAAAGACACCGAGAATTTGACAAACATTTACGACAAAATAATAAAGATTGTTTAGTGGCGCGTTTCAAATTTAGTCGTTGACGAAACATCATAACGATGGGACGTGTTCCTCTTTTAACTTTTAACTTTCAACATCATAACGATGGGACGTGTTCCTCTTTTAACTTTTAACTTTCGATTTTAAATAACACCAGTGTGATGTTACGTTAACCTCGGTTTAATTGATGGGTATGTTTATAAAATTTATATTTATTTTAATAATTTAACACTTAAATGAGTTCTCGTATGTTAAAAACTATTGTGTAATATTATGTTGTAGAAATTTCACTTGAAAAGGACCACAACCAAATGGTCGAAACGTCGTGAAATAATTAAATAAAATTTGCTAGTTACGTCGAAGTCAAGTTTTCTAAGAATATTTGTTAATTTATCGAATATATTAAATTCTTGATTTAAAAAATTACCATGTAAAATGTGGAGTATAAATAAGAAGATAAAGTGATAACATTTCCTTTGCTAGCAGAAGAAAGAAGAGTATTTGTACTGTGAATTTCGAGCAGAATTTCTTCTAACATATTTGTACTTATATACGCACTTCTCTGCTAATTACAAATCTATTATCAAATTAGAAATAATTATTATCAGAAATGAAAATACGAGCGTTAATAAAATATAAGTTTAGTAAACTGCGTCACTTGTCTGTAAGTAAAATGTTCCTTTGTTCTAGAATTTCTCATTTTTTATCCAAATGTGTCGAATAATAATAAAATTAAATTATACTTTTTTTTATTTGTTATTACTTTATTAAGTGAGTTATTACTTAAGTATAATAGCAAATAAAAAATTTAATATAAATACATATATTTCTATAATATAATTTATATATATAAATTATATTTTGCAAATATAGTAACAATTATAAAGCAATGAGATTATAAAGTAAATGAGAATAACTCATCCTAAAATTTTGAGTACACATGCAAATGTAGAATGAACTACTCTCGTTTACTAGGCTTCCAAATTGATATCTAAACATTCACTTATATTCTTTTATCCAATGTGAAATCCAGTCTGGTCTAATTTTAGGTAAAAAGCAATCCGTATAGCCAATAAATAGATTTATAGTTTATCTAACATCACATTTTGACGATAAAACAGGAAAAAAACAACAGACTTCTCAAAGGCGTTCAGAATCTTCTTAAGCCACAATTATATTTTCATAGTAAAACGCTTGTAACATATACTACACCGCCAGACAAGACTGCGCGCGAAAGCACTCGCGGAAATCCGTCCGTAAAGTCGTGCACTCGTTCGTGCCTTCGCCGCTACGCGGCGTCTTTTCTCGCAGTTAGAATTCCGCTGAGTGAGAATATAAGGCCACGCGCTGCACTGCCGAAACATATTTGTGAATATATACGTATACATATATACGATCAATGAGTGCCATTAAATTATTATTGGACACTCTGTTTATAGCAGTATTTTATTGTAAAATTACTTGGAGAGACATTTTTGGTCAACAAGTATGTCGGAAAACAACTGTGACTTTTTCGAAAGTAAAGATTTTAGCCTATCTCTTTTTAAATTTAAATTCTCATTTTTCAAAATAAAGGACGGTATTCCATAGTCCGTTCTTATATTTAAGATTGTCTTTAAGTACAAAGTCTTTTAAGATGCTTTTCTCTTCTTAAGCTTAGTCGGATTCATAATCAAATCTTGATGGTCTTATTTAGTGATGAGCATAATCGGTCATTTCAAAAAATCGATTATATCGATTATAGTAAAAGTACAGGAATCGATTGGACTACTATAATAATCGATTATAATCGTGTAATTCTGTTATTTTCTTTATATCAGTAATTATTTAACACACTTATTTTAATACAACTTTTGGAAAAGAATATCAAAATAAATAAAAATTACTCAAATATATGAAAATATTAAATATTAAATAACTCAACTTAAAAATTTTTATTTCAAAAGTATTTATTCAAAATATTTATTCAAAATTATAAACTTGCATTTAAAATAGTTTAATATACAAGTTTATAATTTTTATTCAAAAAACTTAAGATTTTTACATTTTTCGGAGATAATCGGTTTCTTCTTTCAGAAATAATATATTCAGTAGTAGAGAATAACCGTTCTACAGGTACAGAACTGCCTGGAGTACATAAATATTTTAAGGCTATTTGAAAAATTTCTGGATGCCTATTTTTTAAATAATGTAGAGGATCTTCGGACAAATTAATATTTGCACATGTTAGATAATTTCTTGTTAAAACAATATTATCAATATTAGCTACAGAAGATTGCGACGAATGTTCCATAAAACTGAAGATTCCAGTAGGCTTGGCAACACTACAATTGTTTGTCTTGTTATTAATAAAGTGAGTTAGGTTAACATTTTTTTCAATTTGATCCGAACTTTTAAATTGAGCAGCAAGAAGATTTTGTAACATGTTAACTGCTTCTTCGTAATTTGCTTGTGAACGAAATCCTATTTTTTTAAATCTTGGGTCAATCAACGTAGCTACTTTGCCAATCGTTCTTTGTTCATAATGTATTAATTTTTCGTCAATAAATTGTCGAATTTTTTCATAAAATGAAAGTGCTGCTGGATAACTTAATGTTTTATGAATAGCTTCCAGTTTTAATATTATGCCTTTTATACAAGGAATTACGAGTGAAATAGAAACATAATCTTCACCTAAAAAATTAAAACATTTTCAATAAGATTCATATATATTATATTCAGATAAAAAGTTTGCAATATATATTATAATATATATATATATATACATACCAGAAATATCTTTAGTTGCTTGCTCAAAAGGTTCTAATATCATATTTATTTGCTTGGTTAATTGTATTTCTTCTTTTGTTAAAATTGGAAGTTCTGAGTACTCGTCATTTAGTTGAATCAATTTAATACCATTATGATTATCAATGATACTATTGATCATATGATATAATGTATTCCATCTTGTGTCAATCTATATATTGTAACATAGAAAAGATATAGAAAAAAGAATTGTTTTTTATATTTAATAAAATCTGTTGACACATTTTTAAATTAATTACTTAATACTTACATATTGTATTAATTTACAAGGAACAGTTTCTCCTTCCTCAGCTAATTTTTTGTTTGCTTCTTTTAACATTCTACTAGCCTTAGAACTGTGATGAAAAAATGTGACTAAGTTTTTACATTTTGTAATAATTGAAAGAACCTCTTTGTTATTACATTTTGTAATAGCATTTTTCAAAACGAGATTGAGACTATGTGCAAAACATGGAAAATGTTTTTTATTGAGCAACTCAACAGTTAGCTTCATGTTTGCTGCATTATCAGTTACAATATGATTCACTTTGTCAAATATTTCCCAATCAGTTAAACAGTTTCTGATTAACTGACTTAAGTTATTTGCAGTCTCGTCTTTTTCAATTAATATTACATCTAAGGTAGTAGAATGCAAAGTCAAAAAATTAGTTACTTTAAAAAGTGACACGTAATACCCAAATAGCTTTCATTTGCATTGGATGTCCATCCATCTATTGTTAAAGAAACAGCATGAGTTTCTCTTAATAAAGTTTTCAAATTATTCTTTGCTATTTCATAGCATTCAGGTAATATAGAGTTAGTTAATGATTTTCTTGAAATTATATTGTATCTAGGATTTAAAGCATGTATAAATTCACGAAATCCCTCGTCTTCAACTAAAGATAAAGGCTGAAAATCTCTGGCTACCATCATAGCGAGTTTCTGATCTAAGTCTTTTTTTTTTTTTACTATTTTTATCGTATGGAATAACGCTTTTGAATAGATTTTTAAATGATTTTTTTTCAGACATAGAACCTAAAGACAGCCAAACAATATAAAGAAAAATAATGTAATAAAGATAAGTATAAAATAATATAAGAAGGATAAATATGATATAATTAATGTTCTTATTATTATTAACTAACCTGAAACACAGACATTTGTGGAGGTGATTGATTTTGAATCCTCGGAACATAATCCTTCAGAATCTGAACCACTTAAATATTGTTTATTAAATTCGACTTCATGTTGTTTCTTTATATGTATCAAAAAGTTAGTAGTATTCCCACAATTTTTAAATATTTTCTTACAAATATTGCATCGAGCATGTGTTGTATCAATTTTTGTAAAAAAATCCCATGCATTAGACTTTGTACGATACATTCTTAAAAATAAAAATTTAATATTTAATAAAATTATACACATTTTATATAGTCTGTATATGGTCTGTAAATAAAAATAATGTATTGTTTCTTGATTTTTACGTACCGTTTTTTTAACTTTTTCTCTTGCTTGCTACTATTTATATTGCTATTTACACTATTTATACTATTTATACTGCTATTTACACTATTTACAGATTTATTGCTATTTACAAAACAAAAGAAAAATTACATATTAGTAATATTCAGCATAAGAAAAAAATAAACTCATTCTATACAATATAAATATTAATTACAAACCTAGTATTAAATTCTTTCTTTGAATTTTTTGAATATTCTGTATTATCATTATCAGAAACATTTCCAAAACATAAGGATGCTTTAGAACTGTAAATCAAAGATAATAGATGTGTGTATATACAAATATTTTTTATAATGATCTGTAGCACAAAAATGTCTTACCGTTTTACACGAGAAAGAAAAGAAGCTTTACTGGATATAGTTGATCGGCTTCTATAAGTTTCTATTTCACTCTCTGAAGTAGACATCTCTATTATCTCTAATATTTTAAGAAAAAATGATTATTGAAAGAATAATTGCATGATGCTACTATAACAACTTTAGTTATTATAAATTAAATAAAAGTTATTTTTATATTATTTTTATATTAATTTAATAAGAATTACCTTCATTATCATTTTCATTTTGTAATCTCTCTCCCTATTTTTTTTATTTTTTATCCAATTTTTCAACATGTTTATCCAGGTACAGATGGTTGATCAGCGACTGAAGGTTATCTATTATTAAGGGGATGCCGGAGCGTTGGCCGAACTCCGACGGGTTAGCGCCCTCATTTGAGTGGAACTAAAATTGTCGATAATTATCGATAATTTTAATTCCGCTATTATCGATAATAATCCATATATGTCAAAAAGCTATTTTAGTGTGTTCAACATATTGAAATCAGACAATATAATATATTTTTACTGTCGAATCATCTCGCACAGGCATCTAAGCGTCAATGACAGTAAAACATACATATATAAATGTGTCTCTTTATGACATAGTTGAACACAATTTCAATATTGCTCTTATATATTTTGATGATATATGCATATTTTCATGTATTTTTCAAAGGAAATATACAATCTACCATATATATATATATATATATATACAAGGTGGTTCAAAAGTCCGGCAACGGTCAATTATGTCCAAGAAATAGTGGTCTTATGAAAAAAATATAAAAATTGCAGGGTTCAACCCGGAAAAAATTTTTTATATATAATTATATCTAAATAATTATATAATTATACATAATTATATGTGAAATATGTTCATTTTATATATAATTAAATTTATTTATATATAAATTATGAAGTTCATGTATAATCTCATGTCAAGTTATATATGAAACATTAGATATATTTATATATGTGAATACTTATTTATTATATATACATATATATATATATATATATATATATTTATATAAGTATATGTATATAAAAAGCTCTTTTATCTAATTATATATAGACATATTTCATATTTAATTTTGCAATTATATGTTTAATTTTATATATTTCTATATAATTTTATATTGTTATATATAAAAATTGTTTCTAGGAAAAATAAGATATTTTATGGTGACCTTTACTTTGACGTAGGGGTCAAATTTAGAGGTCATTTCAAGATCAACTTTTATTAAACAAAACCCTCTATTTTTATTAGATATTCTTGTAGCTTATCCCGAGAATTTTCCAAAACACTAATAAAATATTTTTTGATGTACTTATTGAGTTATAAAAGTTTGAAGTGAACAATTCTTTTATAAAATTGACAATATCTTGTAAAACATTCAATTTTCGTTATACATTTATACTTTTTATGCACGGAATAATGAGACCAATCAATAGGTGCAAAGAAAACACAGTTGCAAAAGACGTATGTAATTTTCAAGAAGCAACTGCCCAGCAAACAACATAATTGCTATATAACACGTAATTCGTGCATGTAACATGTAACATACACGTTAGTTGTAATTTCCCACTTATGGATTCTATTATTTATTGTAATTATAGATAGGATAGTGACTTAGCGAAAGATTATCTTTCGGCATCCTACAATATCGATGCTATCTGGGATGTAATTACAATATATAAATAACATATGTCATATTACAAATGTTACATCTATGAGTGAGAAATTACCGTATATGTTACATGTAACATGCACGTTATATAGTATTATATACATGTAACATAGCAGTAATATTTTGTATTTGCTGGGTGCATTTTCTTTACACCAAATTAGTCTCATTATTATGTGCATAAAAATAAAAAATATGATAACGTAAAACTGAATATTTTACAAAGATATAATTTTATGTTAAACAATTGCTTCAAATCTTTATAATTCAAAAAGTACTTCATGAAAAAATGTTTTATTATAATGCTTTGGAAAGCTGTCGAGATAAGCTACAAGAATATCTAATAAAAAATAAAGGATTTTAAGTTGACCTATAAATGATCTCAAAATTTGACACCTAGGTAAAAGTCAACACCTTTAGTATTTTTTTCATAAGACCACTATTTTCGGAGATAATTGGCCATTGCCAGACTTTTGAATCACCATGTACATATTATATATATGTTTATGCATAGATATATGCATCTATATACATATATATATATGTATATATTTCTTACATATATAAATGCATGCAGAAATACATATATACAAATACATATACACATTTGTGTATGGTATAAGCATACGTGTATGGTACGTATATTGATATTACCTGTAATTTTCTATAAATTACAATGTATGCAGTACGCACAATTCGCTTTTCTCCTCTTATCAATAATTGAGAAAATAGCAAATATATTCAAATAACCAGCTGTATATTTTTATATAATATAACAGAATATTATATAATATACAAAACATTTTTATGCATATATAGAATGAAATGGGCCCCTCCATCGCCCATTCCCGTGAGAACGCAACCATAATATATGTATTTTTTTCGTCTCTCCGATTTTTGCAAATGAGACATTTGTATTAGACACTTTTTTGCAACAATATTTATTAGAATTACACATTTCTAGTATAATGATAAATTTTCATTAGTTAGGAAAAGGTGACAGTTTATTTTCTGCTATAATTTTTAAGAAATGTTGTCTCATACGTTTAACATCAGCAGAATATGTCTCATTACAAGGATTTCCTCCTAAAGCTATAGTTGTAGCAAATGCGGCAGCAAAGATCCCACAACATATACCATCAGGTTGTGTTTGAACGTTTTCAAATATTATATTATTTTTATTTATTTGTGGATAACGGCGATGAATGTAATTTATTTCTTTAGCCTTCAATGTTTCGTATGTACAGCCAGATAGACTGTCGTACACTCGAAGCTTGGTGCCGTCAAAAGAAATACATCGCCAGTGATTACTGCAATTTCCTCCAATAATTTGTAAGCTTTTGTCGTTACAACTTGCTTCAATTATATGAGGATATTCCAAATATTGCACACTTTGTGTCTCAAAACAAGAATTCTCTCTTATGACGCGCAAAAATCGGTCCAATGATTCGTCATTTATTTGACTATCTAAAGGTAATACATTTTCCTTTACTGAATCAAAAGGAGCAACCCAATTATCAAAAAATTCTTTTTGCTTTGCCATATCGCATTCTGTTAGTTCTGTATTTTTTGAGTAACTAACTACGATGCAATCATCTTGTTCTGCATTCAAAGCAGTTGCTTCATTGATGAAATATTTGATTTCTTTTTTTTGGCAATATTTTTATCTTCTACATTACACTGTGGAAGACTCGTTTGTTTTCTTTTTTTAGCTACTTCTTGTTGAGCTTCTATTATATAGCTTGGATTTCTAATTGGCATATGTCGATTATGCCGACTGTCCAAGATTTCCGGAAGCATGCAATGGTAATAGAAACGTGTTAAAAAGGGCAGCATTTGATTACTCCAAAATACAGTGTCCCTATTAACACGTACTATTTTCAAGCTTTTTGGCGTCCACACAGCGAAAATACAATAATCTCGCTGCGTTATATTTAACTGGCCTTGAATTTGATAGAAAAATCGGTGATTTTGATTCATTTTATCTGGATTTTTCTTATCAAAGATGCCTTTCAAATGGGGCAATATTTTTATGGCCTCTTCCGCTGTTAAATGCTCAGCTGATAAAGGACATTTTATTTCTACCAGACCATCTTCATTTATGAGTCCGTCTGGAGAAGCACCCAAACACGGATTTTTAATATCAATAAATAATCCGCAAATTTTTATCTCTTTTTTTAATGTTACGGCCAATTCTTTTCTCGCAATTTTTTCCATTTCGCGACCATATTTTATAGCCGCAGTATCAATAGAGGGAGGAAATAAAATGTTTTTTACGGTTGCGGCGCAAGACGTTGTCGGTCTCATGCGACATACAGTTCCAAAATTAGACGCCGTCAACAGTTCCTGTCTCAGTGAATGCCACAAATCTGAATCACTTTGCTCTATTGTATTACGTTCAATTTGTCTCCAATTTTTCCCATTTTCAAACAACTTTTCCAAATGATTTTGTAGAAGTTGTTCAAAAACCTCGGGTAGAAGATCAGGTTTTTGTGATTGCGGACCGTAATGACAATCTGTTCCTGACTTGCTTTTACATTTTTGCCGTCCATCAATTTTCCGAGATTCTCTAGTTCTTGCAACTTTAATTTGTCGTCGCTTTTCCAGAATCTCGACAGTAGGAGGAACATTTTTATCCATGCTTTTATGCATTTCCGTAAGACCTTGTTTCGAATTATATTGCAAAACTGCCCCCGCAACTCTAGCATTGTAAGAGCCTCGGTTACTAAAATTAATGCGCTTACCAGCAATTTCTTTGCAGATTATCGAATTGAACGACTCTACAGGATTGTTGGTGTATTTGTACAACAAACCGTCGGAATAAGCGCTTAAATATATTATAGCCTTTTCTACTCTTTGGTAAAGATCGTGTAATTTGAGAAACGGTACATAATTTTTCTTCGTTTCATCAAGGTCACATATACGACCGCGTTCCTTACATCGTTTATGTTCACCAAATATATGACTAGGAATGTTTAATATATCTTTTTGTAATTCTCTAGCTTTATCATGGTGAGGTTGCTCTTGTTTATTTCGTAAATCAATTGCTTCTATCACTTCTGTTCGTATGTTCATAATGTTGTTTTTTACAACATTTCGTAGCTGGACAAAACCGCGCTTTCTATGCATTTTTGGCTGAGTTGTCCCTGCTACCGCCTGCAGCTTTTTGCATAGATTGCGAAGCAAATGATTCGTGCATTCTATTTTTTTCACGGTCACCATTTGTTCCCGATATGGTCTGCTATCAATGATGGCCTGATAGACGCTGCTATCGCCATCGGCAATAACTGTTCTAAAAATTAATCCATGCATTTCCAGGCTACTTTTAAAGCCTTCTGCAATGGCATCGCTCTCCATACTTGTGGAGCTTGCGTTACGATCGAAATTTTTATAGCATTTATGCTTTTTTGGTTCGATTCTGTTTCGTTCCGCTACATCGCATATCGTGCAATATTTATTGCGGATACCGATAAAAAGAACTTTTTTCGTGTGGTAACCAATTAAAGTACCAACACCGGAAAGAGAATCGTAGGCGTGGCCGTACGATCTTTTACTCCAACTACCAT